CGACTTTTCGGAGAAGATGTCGTTCCATTGGGTTGGGGAGAGGACTGGCTTCTGCACGCGCGTCGTGCGGCGCAGGCTCGGCGAGCATTCGAGGGGCGGGTCGTCGTCGACGGAGTCCTCGTCTTCGAAGGTTTCGAGGATCGCGGACGGCATCTCGCCGTCGTCCACGTGCATGACGCCCTCGCACGACGCCGGCCGCTTCAAGAGGCGCGCGTCCTCGGCGCCGTCGACGCTCACGTACTTGCGCTTCGCGGCTGTGACCGGGAGCCGGAGCAAGTTGGCCGGGGCCTCCCCGGCGGTGAAGATGTCGTGGACGTAGCCGCGATGGACCCGCTTGTATTTCAGCTCCACCTTCTCGTCCGACTTGGCACGGCACACGCCGTCGTACCAATTGCCGTCAACGAGGAACTCGCAGCTCTCGCCGACGTCGGGCCAGCGATCCGCGGGCGCGAACTCCGGCGACGGCGCCGGCGACGACGCCGGCGACCCCGAGTACAGCGGTGTACCGGCCTCGCGCACGTTGTAGTCGCCGGTGGTCTCGATCATGGCTCGACGCACCTTGTCGGGCACCGTCGATCCGTCGACGACGTCGGGCTGTTCCTGCGCGAGCGACTCGAGCTTTCGCGTCGACGGCGTCCGCGTGCGCTTCACGGCGGGCGCCTCGTCCGCCGGCTCGGCGGCCCGCGGCTCCGTCGGCGGCGACTCGACGACGCCCTCGTCCGTCGCGTCGCGCTCCCGCTTGCGGTCGTCCTCGCGGAGCGGCGACGGCGCCTCGTCCGTCGGCGCGTCGGCGCGCGGCTCCGTCGACGACGGCGGAGATCCGGAAGCGCGCCCGCTCGCAGCTCCGGGCGGGCCGCAGCGGACCGTCTCCGTGACGCGGTCCTGGAGCGCGGCGACGTGAGCGTAGCCAGAAGGAGAATTCGAGTATAAGCCGCAGTGCTGCTTGAGGCAGTGGAGGATCTTGCCGCGCGTCGCATCGCGAAGCACGCTTGCGGGCAGCACCTGCTCGAGGTCGCAGACGTGGCAGCGCACGCCGACGCAGTCGCCCGTGAGTTTGTAGGCTTCGAACTGGGAGCACTGCGTGCCGTGCTTGTCCACGTAGTCGTTCGACAAGAAGCCGCCGTCGGCAATCACCACGCGGACGTGCATGTCGATCTCGCACTGGAGGTTGCGCACCTCGTCCGAGGGCGTCGCGAGGGCGGCCAGTTCCTCGGCGCTGAGAGCTGCGTCGGCCGAGAGGTGTCGTAGTTCTCTTCTTGGCATGCCGGCCTCGCCCTGGGAGAAGCGCACGAAGATAAGCATCCGAGTGGTGCTGCTGACGACGCCGCGGCGCGACGCGTCGTTCACGCAGCACACGGCATGGCCCGGCTGGAGCGTCTCGCCAGCGCTCGCGTACTGCACCTGCAGATCCTCGCTGCCCACAGCTGGAGACCCGAGATGCGGCGGCGACGTTGCGCGAGGCGGAGATGCGGGCTCCTCAGATTCCGAGTCGTCGTCGTCCGCCATCTGGTCGTCGGCCGCAGCGCCGTCGCTGAAAGAAGCAAGATCGTCCTGCTCTTTCACCTCCGAACCGCCATAATCCGAGTCGTGGTCGTCCGGCGAAACGCCGTCGCTGGAAGGAGCGAGGTCGTCCTCCATTCCCTCGTCCGCGCGAGAAGCTTCCGGAGACGGCGGCGCGGCGACGGGCTCCTCGACCTCGAGAGCGCTGTCGTCGTTGGAATTGTCCATGCTGTGGCCAATGTAGCGCGCCTCAAACTGCTTGTGCGACGGGTGGAGCAGGCCGAAAATCAGGTCAGCATTCAATT